CATACACCTCTGGCATACATACGTCATCAGCCTCCCACGTTCATACATACACCCAACACGTGTTGAGTATACACAAGCCATACACCAACACGTGTTGAGTATACACAAGCCATACACCAACACGTGTTGAGTATACACAAGCCATACACCAACACGTGTTCAACACCCGCGTGGGTCACCCAGACGACACCCAGCTACACCCAGACGACACCCAGCTACACCCAGACGACACCCAGCTACACCCAGACGACACCCAGCTACACCCAGACGACACCCAGCTACACCCAGACGACACCCAGCTACACCCAGACGACACCCAGCTACACCCAGACGACACCCAGCTACACCCAGACGACACCCAGCTACACCCAGAAGACACCCAGCTACACCCAGACGACACCCAGCTACACCCAGACGACACCCAGCTACACCCAGACGACACCCAGCTACACCCAGACGACACCCAGCTACACCCAGACGACACCCAGCTACACCCAGAAGACACCCAGCTACACCCAGACGACACCCAGCTACACCCAGACGACACCCAGCTACACCCAGACGACACCCAGCTACACCCAGAAGACACCCAGCTACACCCAGACGACACCCAGCTACACCCAGACGACACCCAGCTACACCCAGACGACACCCTCCACCTCACAAGGTCAATAACCTTACGGCCGCCATGACTGAGGTAAGATGTAGAGGTCTCGTAAGTGGACACTTGAGGCCCTGATGAATGCTGCCGCCGACACTCCTAATAATGAAGAGTGCTAATTGATCATCAACTGGGAACAAGTGGAGCAGTCTTGGGTCTAGCTGCCTCTCATTAATGTCTATCACACTCACACACCTTGTTACCCCTCCTGGTTATAATCTATTATCTCTTCAGGTTTGGTTCTTGTTTTGGGCAGTTACACACATTGTTGGCAGGTGTGTAACCTGGCAGGTGTGTAAGCTGGCAGGTGTGTAACCTGGCAGGTGTGTAACCTGGCAGGTGTGTAACCTGGCAGGGGTGTAACCTGGCAGGTGTGTAAGCTGGCAGGTGTGTAACCTGGCAGGTGTGTAAGCTGGCAGGTGTGTAACCTGGCAGGCCAGTCGTAGAGGTGTAGATGGTAGACTGTACCTAAGTTTAAACTGGCTGTTAAGTGTTGGATGAGTGTGTTTGACATATAGTACTTTGGCAATGTGTAATCTCCCACTGCCGTTATATCTGGCCATTATTATGTCTGAGAGGATGTCTCAGGTGTAGAGGTATTACCTGACGTGACACAGCCAGGCTCTTGTACACTGTCACACACTCTGAAAGAGATGTTGTCGTCTTGACTGTCCAATGAGGTGGTTGGGGCTGTTAGTCGTAAGGTCGTAACGTCTCAAGGCGCGTTAGTTTCTCTCAATGGTTCCGTTGGGTGCAGCTCCTGCCTAGTTTGGGTAGGGATCACATTTTAGTCCATAATATCTTTAACGACTCTTTCCTCTTATCAAAGCTTCGGCCTCACACGCATGGGGGGTCACCGGTTCGAGTCTCCTAGTGCCCAGGTGAATGAAACGCTTTCCTCTATCTTGTGAGGCACTTATAAGACGTTTCTTGGGTGGAGTGGAGTCCGTAGTGGCGGCGTCTTGATCAGTAGCGACAGCTGACCTTCCTCTTGCTCTTCTCATACATGTATTACTTAAAGTAAAATGATAACCTGCCTCTCACTCACTCCCTACTGGCCGTCATCAACAGTAAATGTCTACTTTATACTCCAGGATTCATTAAACATTTCCACAACTACTTACGAAACCTCTACATCTTTCGTTAATCATGGCAGCTTGGTTTACATTTATTAAACAGTTTACTAGCCTGGGAACTTCACAACCCAAGGTTATTATTGGTACTAACAACCTCGTAGGGCTTCGGAGGTCATAAACTGTTTAATATATGTAAACACAGCTGAGATGTTTGAGGAAAGATGAACAGGTTTCGTAATGCTTGATGACTCCTGGTCCTGATGTATGTAACGGAACTCGTACAGTAAATTAGGGAAGAATGGTGGAGCTGGAGCTCACTACACTTGGAGAGAGGCGAAGTAAAGGAGACATGATAACGACATAACAGATTCTCATAAAAATGTACACAAAGTCAACGTAAAGTATATTTGACAGATATAAACAAGGGGGAACATGACTGTGAACTTTAACAAGCGGACAACTACTGCATTAGACAAGCAACAGCTAGTAAGGTGGGGCCCCGGAGCTAGCGGTCGACCCAGCAAGCACATTTAGGTGAGTAGATATAACACATACCAACCTGTCCTCCCACTTAACACGTCCCATTACAACACACTCGACCAATGCTTTAAACTGTGACGTATTAGTACACCACCGTAATACTGACGTTTGGTATACACTGGCCTCGACAGTTTAGGTATGGGTTCCTGCGGTGCTGGCTAGGCCAAACAGTTGTGTTTGTTACGTAGTGGGGTAGCCAGAGAACGTTGTTCTTGTTGTTGTT